CAGCGGCGAGCCCGGGTTCGGACGAGTCTCTCGCCGGGCTGCAGCGGGGCCGCCAGCCTGTGCCCGCTCGTCTCTCCGGGCGAACCGTGCCGAGACCAGGACGTTGTGCTGCGGCCTCTGAAAGTCAGAGGGCAGCTGTTGCCTGGGCACAAAGCAAAGCACCTTTTAATAGCTTTAGTTAAACACTCCAGGCGTCAACTACGCAGTTATTTTTGTGATGCTTTCAGAGTGGAAGGGGGAAAATGCGTTTGTGACAAATCTAGAGCGCCTGCCCTTGTGTGCGGGTACCTCTGTGTGCCTGTGGGACGGCGTTCAACAAGGCAGCGAAATAATTTAAAGAGGAAGGCTTTGGCGAGGCTGAAGGAGGAAAATTGCAAACCACTTGCTTTAGGACTGCAATTTATTTTAGTGTTTTAGTTCCTTGCCATCACCTCGCACAGGGAGCTGTGATTCGCTCCTTACTGAATCACTGGTCAGTGCAGACTCCACTGACTTTGACCTGAGGCTTTGGACTAATGCCCAGAAATTATTATTTTTTTTCTTGAAAAGGGCAGTATTCCTAAAAGCATTGGCTGAAATTATAGATAAGTGTTAAATACCAGGTTAATATTTAAATCACTTTGCTGTTTGATGATATTACATATTAACATACTGAACAGAACACTTTTTTCTATGCTGCCCATTCATGTGAAGACTAATTACTTGAATTCTTATTCTAAGTTACAGCTAATATTGCTGTATTTATATAGAACTTGTGAAATTGAAAATAGGAGGAGTCTTTTCCCATTTTTGATAATTAAAAGAAACCCCACCCTTTTAGTTTTAACTGTTGCACATACAAAAACTAAACAAAATAAAAAATGGTGACAGGAGCCGATCCATACTGGCATATTTCTTAGACAACATCCCAAGATCCTGAAAATCTGGAAAACCATGTGAGCGTATTCGTTCAAAAAATGGTCCTGCTTGCTGAACTGTTCGCTGCACGCCCAGCAGGGTGGTACAGTCACAGCAGCTTTTTTGGCCAGCTAGTGCCTTTGGAGACCTCTCATCCCACAAACGAGGCAGCACCCAAAGCTACTTAATGCATATAGTCAGCAGCGTGGCTGAAAGATTGAATGGCTGTGCCTGAAGTTTCTACACTGATGCAATATGGCTTTTCTTCTTAAGGAAAACATGTCATGCCTTATGTACCTTTTTTTGTTTTTTGATCACTTTTGGTTTACGTGATTTAAACTGAAACTGAGCACTGGTTCTGCTATTTTTGGGCTGTTGTCTGTTGCAACTCGGGAAGGAAAACCGCTCTGATTGATTCACAGCCTTGTGCATTATACGCATACAAAAAATAATCTTTTGAGTCACATTTTCAATGGTGCCGTGTAAATTAATAACTTGGAAGTGAGCCCTAAAATCCAGATCCTGTGGTTCTATCCAGAACATATTGCAAATGCTCTGAGACGAGGAAACAGTTTGGAATCTGCGGCAGAAGGAGCCAGTGAGCAGCTGGTAAACTACTGGCCCTTAATGGAGCTATACCATGTTGCAATATCTCCAATTACTGCAGAACGTAATTAGTTTGGTTTACCCTGCCAATATGGAGAGGCCAAACGTTGTCTTGGGCAGCCACTGTAATTATTGCAGCTTCTGTATTATTGGCTGTTAAAGCTGAGTTTGGGCTCTCCCAGCAAGGTATATTAAATATGTCTTAGATTTGCAAATCCCTGCATTGTGTTACACACAGGTATTTGATTGTACCTGCACGATTCTGGAGAAAAGTAGTATTTTTTTTAGTAACTGGTAGAAGTAGTTCATGCCATGTGTAAATATGAGTGCTAATGGTATGGAACTTTTTACAAAGAAATGAGAGTACTGAATTGGTTCGTTCAAATGTGCACTTGCCCTAAAGCTTTTTGTCATGACTGTTGTACAGAAATGATCGTTTTGAATGACACTGTGACTTGGCATTCAGTTTACTTTGTTTCTCTATTTGAAAATAGTCTTCAGAGATAAGGGAATGTTTTAACTTGATAGGCCAGCAAAATAAATGTATCTTGGGTGTAAAATAGCTAACTGAATCAGTAAAGTTCTGTTTAAATTAAATTTAATGTTTGCTATATTATTTGTAGTGTGCTAGCCTGATGAGAATGTCCAACACTGAACATTATATTTGTGTACTGCTCCTAAAGGGTAACTTTTAGAATAATGAAACATGACATAAGAATCAAAACTCCCAGGCACTGTCTAGAAATTGTTGGCATTTATCCATCTGACAACTGTGGCTACCAAATATTAAAATCCCGTATCAGCTGACATCCAAATTGATTTTTGAGTGTTAGATTTTCCTTGCAGAACTAAACGGTCCAAACTTCAGCCCTTAAAAATGTTAAATATTTGAAGATTTAAAAAAACAAAACAATCCACTAACCTCATTCCCCCCTCCTCAAAAAAACCACCACCCTTATGCAATAAATTAAATTGTAGCCAAATCAAATAATTTTAACCAATTGTTTTTTTCCTAAATAGCAGAGTTTAATTTGTCTTTGGAAACACTACAGGGGCTCTGAGTAGCTGATTTCCAAGAAATTTAGGCCACTGTTAGCTCTCGGACAATGACTGACTCCGTAATGAGCCAGAGGCCAGCTGATGAAAAACATTCCTGACCTATTGACCCCTAGTTTATACTCAGCTGCTCCAAACTCACTTAAAACATCAACTTAGACTAAGCTTTAAATTACAATTTTTTAGTAATAAACTGAATAATTGTGTTTAGTACTACCATGATGTTATGTCACTTGGTGACTTGGAAACCAGGTTATCCTCCAACTCTGAAGTCCTGTACTGTGGACCTTTAATATTTCATACCAGGATGGAACATAAGCATTTAAAAATACATTGTGCAGTATGGCTATTGCAGTTACTTCAGACAGTCCCCATCATGTATTTGGTCAGCTTTTACGGTTTTATAAGATCATCTGAAAAAAAATTTACATGGCCTAACTTTTAAATTTCTGCTATTTTATCCTCTGGCTAGTTCCTAATTATTAACAAACTGCTTAGTTTCTGTGAGCCTGTGTACAGGCCACAGCAGCCAAACCACCAGTTCACACAGTTCAGAAAGGTCATATAGAGCCGTATAGAGTTTGTGTTATTTAGATAATTCTGCAGGGCTGAGAGGATAAGCCTTGGTTACATGAGCCTACCTGCTTAATACAGAAATGAAAAGCTTTGCTATTGTTCTAAACTGGTTTTGTTGTGGAGGATGCTTGCTTAAAAAAAAGCATTTCTATTCCAGGACATGAACTTGATTGACATCCTTTGGAGGCAAGATATAGACCTTGGGGCAAGGCGTGAAGTTTTTGATTTTAGTCAACGACGGAAGGAGTATGAACTCGAGAAGCAGAAGAAGCTTGAAAAGGAAAGACAAGAGCAGCTCCAAAAAGAGCAGGAGAAAGCCTTGCTGGCTCAGCTGGAGTTAGACGAAGAGACAGGTGAATTTGTTCCTGTTCAGCGCATTCAGTCTGAAAATCCTGAGCCAGCAATCAGTTTTTCACAGGTAAACTCTTAGCATGTGTGTGTGAGTTTGTTTAAAGGTTTTTCCATTCACGGGAAGACATAAGGCTAGTGGTTACCTAAAATGAATTTGCATTCGTTGCTGTAATGGAAGATTCTTCAGTTATTCAAAGATGCAGTAAAATCTTTTTCGTAACTTTCCTATTCAGACCACACAGACTTCAAAATCAGAAGCAGAGGCCTTGTCCTTTGATGACTGCATGCAGCTCTTGGCAGAAGCGTTCCCGTTTATAGACGACAATGAGGTAAAAATGCTCAGTGCAGCGGTTCCGTGGGTGGTCTTACAGGGGGTCGGTCTCACGCCTTCTCTTACTAAGATATGTCTACAGCATAATATTAATTTGTGGTATCATTTGAGTTTTGTCCTCAAGCTGACTCCGGCTGGAATAGAGCAGTGCAGGAGGCTTGAGCAAGGGCTGTGTCCGGAGGGTGGGGAGCGGCGCGCCGGCGTTCCTTCTGCCTGCTGAGTCCTGCGGCCGGGGTTCAGCGCGAGGCGCCGGCTGGCAGCCACCACTGCAGCTCCTGCCGACAACGCCGCCGACTCTGTCAGTTTGTTACAGTGGGCTTAGTGTGGCTCTCTGCAGCACACTTGTGCATTTGAGTTGCTTTATTTCCATGTGCTGACACAGACTGTTTGATATGTAAAGACAAGCCCCTCACCGCCCTTTTCCTAGATCTACTTTTTTTTCCCCATATTTTTCCTTAATATGCCCTTCATGGGAATATTTTTATATTATCCCCAAAAGTGTTTTTCTTAAGAAATACTTGTCTGTTTGTTCTGCAAAAATGGTAGAAAACAAAAAAAACAGATTATTGCTTTGGAAAATTCAGTTGCTTTTTTGAGTGGGATTTTTCTAGTGTGGCTTTTTGTTTTTTTAATTGTCGTTTTGTCTGGGTTTCTTTAATTATTTTTTTTTAATACTCCAGGCTTCTTCAGCTGCATTTCAGTCACTGGTTCCTGCTCAGATTGATAGCAACCCAGTCTTCATTTCCTCTGATCAGACTCAGTCACCTGAATCACCTGTTCTAGTTCCACTTACTGATGCGGAGAATATGCAGAACATAGAGCAAGTTTGGGAAGAATTACTGTCCCTTCCAGAGTTACAGGTAAAGGTTTAGTATGATAACCACCTGAAAAAGATGGCATGCGGTACAATAGTCCCTCTACAGATGGTGATTGTGACTACCATGTTGGATCCTACACCTGTAGGATGTCTATAAATCAATATAAGCTTTATTTCTTTAAAAAACAATATATGAAAAACATGTAGGAGAAAGGCAATCAGTTGTTTTTCAGAAAGTCTTAATAAAACATAATCTATCTTCCTGATCAGAACATCTTCATATTTAGCAAATCAATGTCTGCCTCTGTTTGCAACTTGTTACAGCACGATCATAGTTGAAATTTAAAAATGGACACTTTTGCATTATGGATCTGCAAAAGGAATTGTTTCCACAAGCGTTACTGTAAATGTAGTTTTTTGCAGAGTTTGTTTGTGCGAATCATTTATGCATTCAATTTTTAACTTAGGAAAGGTTTTGTAAAGGTTATAATAGAATGTATATTTAGATACATAGAAAAGTCAGGTATAGCTGTATAACTACTCTTTACATATGTTCAGTAAGACCTAATTATGTAATGTACATGAACTGAGTATTTCAAAGGAACAAAAAGATCACTATATTTCTAAATTGTGCATTACAGAGGATAGCTAGGGTTCGTTTTTTTCTCCTATCCTTATGTTAGTGTTTGTATTTTCCTTAGATTTGACTATAATAGTGAGTAAATTTATTTTCAGATATATTTATGTAGAACATCATCATCCTTCAGCACGATGCTGTTCTACTTCATGCTGTTAATGGAAGAGATGAATGCCCCTAAATCCAAATCATATTTGACAAAAACAAAGTTTGCAGGAGTTGTGTTTTTCCTGCCACTCTACCTTTTTCCCTTTGTGTTTTTTTTTATTTTTTCAAAATTTTCCTAGTTTTGTAATCTTTGCTATTGAGGTAGGCTTAAAAGCCCCATATAAGTAACAAGCGCAATTGTTAGTGAAGAGGCAGGAGTGATGCTGAAGATACATTAAGGAGTAAGCCAAAATTATCAGTTGCAGTAATTCTGAATTGTAATTGAACAATCTGCTGAAGGAAGTGAAATAATTGAGAGCAGTACCTTTTACGAATTATGTTTGAAGAAGAAAAGAGCTCTTACATTTAAAACCTTAGCTAAACCTTGAAGGATCTCTGGTTAAATAATCAGTGTGTGGTCCCTTCTGAAGAGAAACAGGATCATTTTGGTAATTGCCTAATTCTTTGGGGACAGCAGGCACACTTATTCCAGCTTCACTTAAGAAACTGTCACCCAGTTGGAAAGAACATTGGTCTTGTAGCCAACGAAAGCCAATCAGTGTAATGGTCTTTGACGCTCACACTGATGTCAGCCAGCTTAAATAAAAGTATGTGGGGTGAACTAATGTTTGCAAGGCTTCACATTAGTACTCTTTTTACTTCACTGAGAATTACATTTCTCTGCACTGAACAGCTGCTTCATTCAGTAAATCCTAAAAAATCTTGGGTTTAGAGGAAAAGAAATCTATCACATAACATGAAATTAAGAGTATTAAACTAATTGTTTGCTCGTAATGCTCATTAAGTCCCATTCAGTAATTTCACATTGACTGTACTCCTGCCCTTCCTAGCAGTGGTGCTTGTGAGAAGTTCAGACCTGGAAGCTCCAGGATCCCCACTCACAATTTCCCAGAACAAGACGGCTGCCGTAGAGTTGGAACGGGTCCTTCAGCACCTTGCTAGGAGTTTGAGAGGCTCTGCTTTTAATCTAAATAGTCTGTTGCTAACAAGTTGCTTCATACTCCTGCTTTGGTATCTAGTCTTCTTCCTAGATTGCCTCTCCATCGTAAAAGTGTCTTGTAGTCATCTCAGTTACAGCAGTGTTGTAATACTCATTTTATGTGCATGTTGACTGCTGAAATATTTAATGTCTGGGCATTATAGGAAAAGGTTTTATCAATTGGAAATGTGTTGCTCAACCTCTCTCTTGCGTTTTCCATGTAGTGTCTTAACATCGAAAATGATAACCTGGCTGAGGTAAGCACAATCGCAAGCCCTGAAACCAAGCCAGCAGAGATGCAAAACAGCTATAATTACTACAGCTCGTTACCCATGATGAGAAAATATGTTAACTGCAGTCCAGATTTCCTGGATAGTATTGAGGGCCCCTTTTCCAGCATTTTGCCATCAGAAGACACGGGCCAGCTGAGTGTGAACTCTTTAAATGACACACCCCCTTCAAACTCCGATTTCTGTGAGGATTTCTACGCCACCTTTATTGACACAAAGGTGAACGGTGACACAGCAACAACAAACACTATCAGTCAATCACTCGTGGAAATTCTAAGTGAACCTATTGATCTTTCCGATTTCTCGCTGTGTAAAGCTTTTAACGGCAACCACTCAGGAACCATACCAGAATGTAACGATTCTGACTCTGGTATCTCGTTAAATGCAAGTTCTAGCATAACATCGCCTGAACACTCTCTCGAATCATCTGCCTATGGGGATAAGACTTTGGGCTGCAGCGATTCTGAAATGGAAGACATGGATAGTGCTCCTGGAAGTGTGCTGCAGAGCAATGCTAGTGCGTACTCTTTGCACTTCCAGGATCAAGCATTTTCCTCTGTGGGGCCAAGCACTCAAACACCAAGTTTGAAGTCTACAAACACACCAAAGAAAGAACCCCCGGCTGGTCCAGGCCACCCCAAAGCTCCATTCACAAAAGATAAACCTTCGAGCCGCCTTGAGGCTCATCTCACAAGAGATGAGCAAAGAGCAAAAGCTCTGCAGATCCCCTTTCCTGTTGAAAAAATCATAAATCTCCCCGTTGATGACTTCAACGAAATGATGTCTAAGGAGCAGTTCAACGGAGCCCAGCTTGCACTTATTCGCGATATACGCAGGAGAGGCAAGAACAAAGTGGCTGCTCAAAACTGCCGCAAAAGAAAACTGGAAAATATAGTGGAACTGGAGCAAGACTTGAGTAACCTAAAAGATGAGAGAGAGAAATTGCTTAAGGAGAAAGGAGAGCACGACAAAAGCCTTCGGCAAATGAAAAAGCAGCTAACCACCTTGTACCTTGAGGTCTTCAGCATGCTACGCGATGAAGACGGCAAGTCTTACTCTCCTAGTGAATATTCACTGCAGCAAACTAGAGATGGCAACGTCTTTCTTGTTCCTAAAAGCAGGAAGTCAGAGACTAAACTCTGAAGGGCATCAGAGCTGGCTACTGTTCTCTGAGTTATTATTTTTGTATTAGAATCCTGGTAGTTTTTACTGAGGTGGAATGCAGAATTAGGTAATATTTTTCAAGTAATTATATGCAATGATGATTTCAAATTTAATAATTAGTTTATGGAAGATGCAAGTTTAAAACTAATAGTGTAATGCAAATGGAGGTATGCAAAATTTGTAATCTCACTTTTGTAACAGGTATTTCCTTCTTATAGCACCACTTTGACTAGTTTCCATATACATGTAAATATTTAAAAATACCGTATTTATATACTGTTCCTATCACATTATATTCACAGATTTATTTGAGATATATATATAAATGATTTTAGCCTTCTAAATATAATTTCTTGCAAGAACAAGTATGGCTTCCGATACTTTTTTATAAAAATGCAATAGTGCTTCTTTCCCATTTTTCTTACACATTTATACTTGCTTTATATTTAATATAAGATTTTAATTTAGTATAAAAAGTTGATACTTAAGTGTTTGATTTTGATTTATCAGTTCATTAAACTTTTTTTTTTAACTCTACTTCATATACATATATTTCCCTAAAGAAGGGAAAAGCTCACTAGTTTTTCAAGGCTAAGTCTTCATGTAACAAATATGTTCAATAACCAGAGATGTATCACATGGCACTGTTGGCATCACTGATTGCTCCCTTCTGCATAGTTTTACCTGCCGTTTGGAAGGATTTGTTACACAAAGTTAAGTTTCAAATCTATGCTAAGTTTACACCATTTTTGGTTTGCTTTTTGAACACTACTTAAATTTGTGACAAGATCTTTCCTCTAAAGGCATTTAAAAATGTGTTAATTCAGATGTTGTCGGCATTACATATTTTTCCAACTAAAAATTCCATACAATTTTGAGTAATTGTTCTGGAAATACACTTTGTGTTCCTGACCGATCAGCGGGCATCATTTCTCACTGCTATGGGGAAAAAAAGCACAGTAACCAGCAACCAGCCGCACTGTTTGGAACTTGTGCTCAATTAACTGAAAAGCATTGTGGAGTTTAAATTATGATTTACAAGAGAATAAAAATTGGGCAAATAAGTAGCATTGTTTTGTTTACTTTTCAAACAGACTCGTAACTGATCATTGCAGATTTGCTGAATACAGAAAATGCATCACTTGTAATTTGAAATACACATATTGATCTGAACATTAAAAAACATATCCTCTTCCTTCATCTTCCCTATGAAACTTCTAAAAGGCGCATTTAATCTGAACCTGTTTTTTCTGCCATTGATGCTCTCAATCATTTTAACAATATTTTGTCTGGTACAATGTTACTCATAACTTCATTAGTATAATAAACATCAAGTTGTTTTGCAAGACCTTATGGTACTTTTTTTAAAAAGAAGGATCTGGAAATGCTGAAAAAGTGTGGAGTAGGACCCACAAACATTGTTAACTAATGTTGTAGGAAAAAAAGGGTTTAAAGAGGGAGATCCCATTAAGAAACCAGCCTTCCATTAGCTCATTATCCACAGAGTAACGCTAAAGAAATTGATAGGGTTGTTGGTGAATTCAGTCTTGAGGTTTTTATTTCCGAGACTTTTTTTTTTACTGTGCTGAGTTGCATATCCAACAGAAACCATCTCATCTCATGAGTAGCCATAAAAGCCAAAGGAACCATTTTAAATTATTGTAATCTCAGTTCCATACTCTGTCACTTCTTATGGACCTTCTGAGTGTCCTTAAAAAAAAGCCAAAACCCACCCCCCCAAAAACACAAATATAAACACAGAAAGCCATAGTTCCGATGAATTGTATTCTGCCACAGGATGCTGTAGAAGGTCTCCTAGTTTAGACTGTTTTGTGCTCTTTGCTGCTTTCACACGACTCTCCCATGACTCTAGACCCTCTCATTGAATAGCATTAATGAGTTTCAAGCCTACCATTATGTAGGTACCAATTTTGATTTTCCCTGTATGCACAGAATTTCAGATGATTATCCAGCTGGTCAAATTGGTATCAGCATAACTCTTCACAATCAGTTTCTGCTTTCATTACACCAAATCATCATTTTTTTTCCTGATCTTTGCTGCTTGTCATTCATCTTCTTACCGATTCTGAAGAGCAGAGACCTCTCTAGTACCTGGCGCAAACACACACACTCATACACTACACCTGCAGTGCAGCCAAAGCGCAGGGGTGGGAAAGCAGAGCAGTACCAACAGCTTCACCAAGGTGGTGCTTTCGCTCCAGGGCCCTGTAATGCTGGGAACCGTGATCCTATTGACTATATTCCTTGCAAAAGGCAGGTGTAATGGCCAAGTGCCACTACCAGAAGAAAGTCTTTGGTACCTAAACCTGGGGCTATCAGATGTCCCAGCCCTCCACCTGAAGAGAAAACTATGTTTCACGTACCTCACTGCATTACTTACTTTAGACTTTCAAGTGAAGTCCTGCCTCACAAAATATCTGTATCTGAGGCAGCAAATACAGCAAGTCATGAAAAAAACATAGCCTCGGATTTCCAAATCCCCCAAAAGCACCAGGAGCACCCTGCCTGTTACATCGAGTAGTAACGTTTGTGCAGAAGACCTGAGGAAATCTAAATCCAGGTGACCCAACTCACATTTTGGGGTTGCTTACCTTGTTTGTACCTGTACTGACCTTCTTCCTCATTAACAGCGTGTCACTGTCCCCCTGCAGTCCTTGACATACTCTGAATGCAACACTCCTCTTTTTGGAGCAAGTAGTCAATATGGAGGGTTAAAAACCTAGAGGTTGGATTTGGTGGCCAAAGCAGATTTATTTGCTCTAGATAGGGCAGCCAACCACCAGCCAAACTGGATCAAAGTATTTTTCTTGCTGCTGTTGTTCAAAGGTGCCTCTGTTTACTTTGCCACCAGCACCACCCCAGAAAGGAAACACCTGTAAGAACCCCGTAACAGTCGCCGGGGCTGGGTGAACACCAGGGGGATGTAACGCTGCTGCCAGTTAAAGTAAGAGGGTCTGATCCTTATTTAAAGACAGCTGTTTCGGAGCACTGGCACTTGAGAGGCAGCACACCCAGCTATGACCCACACAGCAGCTCTAATACACGGTCAGGTCAAAGTCTCAGAGCTTAAAGAAGAGCTCCTAGGTTCCCCCCGACATTAACTGGGCTACTGAATGCTTGACATAGAGAACAATGTATCAATGTATCTAGCTGTAATATAAATACTTGATTTACAAGTTTGCTATAAACTAGAGACTTCCATAAACCCTTGCCCTCCGATTAGTTCCTTATTTTAGTGCTACTGCGAAAGCCAAAGGCAAACAGCATCCTCACAGCCTCTGCAGGGCCATTGTATTTGTCCTACATGTATGTCTAGAACTTAACACAGGGATACTAATTCCATTATCAAGATGAAAACAGCAACAACAAAAACCCTTCAGTTAAGAAGCCTTGTCTGAATTCCGCTGAGCCAGGAATCAGCCTGAACTCGACCCACAACAACTTGCATTCAGTTTAAACAGTATTTTTCAGATCATGAACACAGTGAAGGTTGTACTCTCACCAAAACCCACATCATTAAGGAAAAAAAGATATTTCACGTTAAATTACTGTGGTATATGCGAAAGCATCAGATTGCAAACTACATACTTGATTTTATTATTATTATTACTGAGGTACAGAGCGTGTTCGCAAACCAGAGTGACTAGTGACATTGCCAAGGCTAACGCATCACACCGCCGACCTCATACAGACACATCTCCATGCTGAGACCATTTCTTTGTTGACCAAAGTGTTCAGTTTTAAAACTCACAAAAGTAAAGCTGAGGAGCTGGGCATTCTGACTTGCAGTCCTGAGTTGGAATGATCCTGTAATGCAGTGTGCTGCAGTAATTTAAGACCACTTTGTGTTCCTCACAGCACTAAAAAAAGGTGATGGCAATGCATTTTCGATTTTAAGTCATTTGACAATATACACTTTATTCTGATACAAAATAGAAATATTTTAACAAATTTCAATCCATTATGGACTATACTGAAATTTTAACTTCCATGCCATTTTTAAACTTGTTTAACCACAAGTTTTAAGATTTCATCACACTAGCACCATTGCTCTTGAAGTCTTTGCCAGTTATTACAACATATTATTCTGTTTCCCATCTTGCGATATTATCTTCTACATGAAGGTCATTTTTCTTCTACGGAGATTACTTTAGTTCAGGAAAAAGCTAATGTGAGATAGAGATGTCAACCTGTAGCACCCACAGCAGAAAAAGAATCATTCATCAGATATCTGGATTTTAGTGATACTCAAGATCTTTCATGCTCCACATAACTTAAGATACACAAACTTGTCACAGACCACAGATTAATACGCAGGTGAATATTCCACTGCAGTGCAGACAGTATATGAAAACACTGAAACCGAAGACAAGTCAGTACATCACACAACCAATGCATTCACCTTCCCACCTTAAATATACCAAAGTTAAGGTGGCGTGTTTAATTGTTCTACAACAACAAAGCGCTTATCACATCTCCATCAAATGGGGTCTCTTTTGGGGAACTACATTTTTACTACCTGCAAGTACCTTCTGCTTTTAAAGTAACACAGAGGCTTAGGTATTAGAACTGTAGTCGAGGGACTGTTGCCTCATTAACTTTACCTCTCCATCTCCACTTAGAGCTGCTATTTTCACTGGCAGCCACTACAGAGAAACCCAGCCATGAAACAACGTTCTTAACTCTTGGAAGTGCCTCACAGACAAAAGACACACTTGACCAAGTACTCTTTAAGGATGCGTTTTATCTTTGACGAAGTTTATTTCTGAACAGTTTTGGGTATGAATAACTGTAATTAAGTGAATTAATGTAACAAGAGTGTTGTAAATCCAAGTGTGAAAATAATTCTACCTGAATATCTAGTTCTATACGTGGTGCAAAAAGACCCCTCCAGAGCACAAAACAAGTCTGCAGCCACAGAGAATTCTCTCATGCTAAGGAAAGGAAGAGCTTTGCATCACAGACAGGCCTAGTAACTGGATGCACTCTGTAAAGGACTTTTGTTAAAACAATTTACTTTTGTTAAAAACATTTTACTCCTGAAAAGTTGTAATGCTCCCCCCAAGAAGTACAGAAGCATTTGCCCTCAACTGAGTAACCATGGAACACACTAATGCTTTCCCCCAGTACCTGCTGCTACGTGTAGGTGCCTTGGTGCAGGTGCCTTGGCAAGCTCACAAGGCAACTCTGCCAAGCAGAAGGAAAATGAAGGTTTTCCAACCCCTAGTATGAAAAAGCAAACTTGTCACCTCAGCAACGAGCTGCCTGGCACACTGCACTGAAGAGAGACTGTGATCTTACTGCAGCAGTTTCAAATTTTGGCTCAACATTGGCTAAGCAAAACCACTTGGCAATTTTTTTTTAAAAGTCATTGTGAGATTTCCATTTTTTATATGCAAATCTCAACAATGCCACTGTAAACTGCTTCCTAGTTAAGTTTTAACTGTATATTACAACATCAAGAATTTGCTTTCTGGATGCTTACAGAGCAGGTACCAAGTTTACTTGAAACAGTGTGTGAGTGTGGCTAAGCTCTAGCTTCAAGTCAAATGGAACCCATGCATTTCAGTTTATTTTCTGAGTAAGGGAAGCATAACCAACACTAAAATAGAAACTGACTTCACAAAAAAATAATGCATAGACGTAAAAACATATTGGCAAGTTGAAGTAGGTACTGGACTACTACATTAAATTAGTTAAGAATATCCCAAGACCTGTAACAATCAAAAGACACAGAAAAGGAAATACATGTTCCAAGAGTTAAGAACCACCGTGTGTAAAGGCAGATGCTATGAAATTCACGCCGTTGTGTAAAAGCTGTTGTGCTTTCAGCTGGGTATCATGCGATGGCACTAATTCTCCAATAAACTACTCTGCTTGAAAGCACCAAAAACCTGAAAGGGAACTCTTGATTTGCACAGATAAATACAAACCCACCTGGTAAGCCAAGACTCATTTATTGGGCGGGAAATCAGTGCTCCAACCAGCACAAAGGGCCTGTACAGTGACTGTGGCAGCAGCATCACACACTGCCCAGAACTGTGAACTGCTACCACGTCTTCACCTTTCCGGGGTTCTGTATCTATTACAAGGTAATGAACAATTTCTCCTCTCCCTCCCCCACTCAGTACACTCCCCACCGTAACCAGAGCACGTTTCAAAACATTTACGTGTCTTGTTGAGATTGGACACAGAGCAATTTTGTACCTGCCAGGAACAGAAGAGTCTTGAGCAGCAACTATGCCAGCAAGGAATCCGCATCCAGAACAGGAGACTCTGGACGCCGTATGCTGGCATACTTGCTCCTTAGCACTTAAGACTTTCCTTGATATTAAAAGGCTGGCAAAGGAAAGCCTGGAAGGAAATAAGAGTTAAACAAGTGTTGTACTATACACTACAAGTCTTACCCAGTCAGAAACCGTCAATTGAAGAGGATGTGCAAGACATTCCCCATTTTGTCAAGCAGCAGCTTCTCATTCAACCTGAAAATTAAAGAAATTACTCTTACCTTGTTAAAAACCCTCCCACTACTCTTTATAATTCATGAAAAATTTTAAAGGCAAACCTTACCTATGCTCATTGCCCTTCCTTTCAGGTCTAAATGCTAGACCTATTGATTTTGAGTCAACTCAAGTAGCTATCACTCAAGGAGGTTCCAAAAGGTGAAGAACTCTTGCTAGACTTTCTTCGATATTTCAGCTGTGATAAGCAGATTTAACTAGCCTTTGGAAAGCTGCTCACTATCAGCACAGTATCTTATGCCTTCACTTTTCTGGAAGTTGAAGCTGTTGCTCCTGCTGCCTCGTCATTCTTTAATTAGGCTGACTTCTCCATACTCAATAGGCTGCTGAAGTCCTGTCTTATGAGTCTCCTTAGCAAAGTATGGGTCAAAGAAGTACGTCCTAGGTCCTTTAAAGCTGGTTAATCACTGTCCTCATGGCTCACACTTTTCCACATCACAAACATCAACTACGCTACCCCGCCCACCTACAAAGCCATCACTTACATCCATCTCTTAAAAGGTTGCATACAGATCTTGTTCATAACGTTTATTATGACACTATTTTTCAAAGTTAACATGGTTGTCACAGTACAGCTACAAGAGGCCCTGTTGAAAAGAACACTGTCAATACATTCTAAAAAAATTTAGAAATACCAGATCAATTGTCAGAAGGGACATCAACCCCATCCTCCAGTTGTCCCTGCATCACATGCAGGCCCCAGGTACAAGTCTACACATCTTCTAAGCGTAGTAATGTACAAAGCAAGTCGGTGGTTAGGTGGCTCACTCCCTAGTGAGTTGTGGTTTGGTTTCCAGTGTTTTCAAACTCCAAATGGGTTGTTTAAAAAACGCCTTTATTGAAATACAGCCTCCCCCCCACCCCAAGCCCAAATATGTACAACAGAAGCGTTCACTAAATCACCAATTCTTGCTTTAAGAGGTATCATTATTTTAAAATAACTCCACAGAAAGAAAAAGCAGACTTTGAAATCCAGTTTGGAGGCTACCATCTTGACACCAGTTTCTTGGTTTAGTGTACTGCAGTCTAAATACACTCCAATAACAGTGTTTAAATAACATTGTTTAATTTTTTTCAAACAACACACTCATTTTTCTACTACTTCTTAAAATTATAATTCATTATCATTATGACTGATTACGCCTTGAGCCATTTCACACATCTTTGCAGAGTCATTCCTACACTGGAATTGCATTTACCTTATACTGCACATCGACCCAGAAGCAAAACAGGTGTGAGTAATTCAAATACCACATTGTCAAGTGTCAGAGTATTTCTTCTACGGACTGGGTCCCTACTACTCTTCTGAGTCTGAGTGGACAGAAAGCACTGTCCCGGCAATGGTCGAGAGAATTCACATCAGATGAGAAAAGGACAGACTGTGGTGCCTTAATTTTGGAGGTGAGAAGCAAGAATGAAGTCCAATCTCTAGCCACATGTGCTGATAAGATCTGCTACTCCAGTGCATCAATCAAATCGTCACACGCTATCGCTCTACCTGTGGAAACTCAAGACTGTACCATTCTACATCGTGGGACGTGTCTCTAGTCGGTCAAGTACAACTAGATCGTGTTTCGTTTCATCTTCGAGCTCTTAGCTGAGTGCAGACATTCGCAAGGGAAAAAGCTTAAAAACTAGACTACTTACAGCCCATCATGAGCGGGCTTTTGGAACGCATTACCTGGGGCTGTCAGTGATTACACCTGTGCTACCCTTGGCTCCCAGTCAGAAGAATGTGTCCAGAATATTGCCTAGGGTGCATGCAAGAAAGTATATAGCCATTAAGTTATTGAGGAACACACCTATTACCCTCACTATGACGCCTCATTCAATTGAAACAGCACAGTCTGGTGTGAGGGAGAGGGAAATGGGGACAAAGGAAGGGGATGAAAATCCCAAGCCACCCTCCCCGAAGTAATATTTTATTGAAACAAAATCATTGTATATCCCAAGGAAACAGGCACTTGATTCCCCCCACCTTAACTTCTCGGGAATTACAATAAATATAAAGGTAAAAAGCAAGTTTCTTTTTCTCTTCACCCAAGACTTAAGCGACTGCGGTTATCCCTCATACATCTCAAATGAGACGGGAGACAGCTTTAATGTGTCTAAAGTTGGTCTTGTTAAAATATTTATCATGCCTTATTTTCTTGAAGCGCTAGTACTAATACAGAACTACAAATTAAAAAAATATGCACAAACCAAAAAAGTAATTTGAAATTTTCATTAAGGTAAAGCTTAGTTCTATAATTCACAAACACTAATTTGAGTAACTCAATCCTAGTTATACATCTAAACAAACTATAATGCAACATACAGATGTTTTCCCTCTGTATGCCTATGTAACTCATGTCAGTGACAGTTACATATATACACTGAGACTAGACCCCTTAAGACTGCAAATCAATAGGTGTTTCTATTGTTAACTTTAAATTAATACAAAATAGTAGTTGAGAAATGCATCAATCCTCTCTATGAACTAACAAGGAAACACCCTAAACTACATTTTATTTCTGTTATAGAGTTCTCTGTACTAAATGTGGAAAAACTGAGCTACACAAATATTGAAAAGTTAAAAATTCCTTAATTGTTTTATTCCTGGTACCACTACCACAATTTACAGGGCAATATACCTGATGTAATGGGAAAATAAAAAGAAAAAAGAAAGACAAAGCTACAACAGATAAAGACCTCAGGAATGTACATCTAATCGACACTACATTGCATTAATCAATAGCTGCACTTTTTGCAAACTGTGGCTATGACAGTCCTGAACAAGAAGGGTTTCCTGTTTAAGCTGCAGTAACTTTTCTGACTATGGATCATCGTTCCTTCTGTGGCAGATTTTACAGTTCCTCTAATGCATTTGGGACGACTGTCTCAAAGTAACCTGCAGCTTTCCTGACAACTCCTCGCTCTCTCTCCTGCTAAGAACTGTAGCCTGTTGAATACAGGATAAGAAAATTATTACTCTCAGTGAACAGTTGCACATCATTAATCATCAGTATAAATATGCATTACACCTACCCTTTTTCCGGTAGCATTTTTAGAATCTTCTACCACCATAGCCCCCACTTCCACTTCCAGATCCATAACCACCTACAAAAAACAGGGTGTGTATTGGAACACAAGAACAACAAGAAACTTGACCCCCCCAAAATATTTTCTCAACAAAATCGTATTTACCACCATAGGGACTGCCTGAACTTCTGCCACCAAAGCTGCCACCACCTTTCATGGGACCATAGTTAGACTGCTGTTGGCCACTGTAATTGCCAAAATCATTATAGTTCCCACTTCCACCGTAATTACCTGAAACACAGATTTATAAAGCCACTTAGCAACTTAAAACCAAATTACAAGCATTTTGCATGCTACCTCTGCTCTCAATGCACAAATGACAGAAGACCCTTATTACCTTGAAAATCAGAAACCGGTATTTCATCGAAGATTAAAAACATCACGTGATAGAACATTTTATGTGGATTTGAGTAGGCAATTCAAAGTCAAGGCAACTGACTCAAATTCAAGTTTTGTCTCTAGATGCAGCAAAGTACAGGAATTTCAGTCATTCTCCCCCTACCCAACACTGTGCACGTATCACAATAACTACATACAATTCACTTGCTCCAAGAAGTGACAGAGCTGTATCGGGCATATTGCATATACACATCAGAGGGTACAATAAAGTATGCAGCAGATTTTGCAGCTTAATTATCCAAATTTGGGGCAAACAGTTAAAAAGCTTAATATATAAACTCAGATTTATAATCCTCATAAAGGGGAACGTTATCTATGTGATGTGAACTGGCAGCCTACAGCAACAGCACGCTTCAAATGGTCAAAAGCTTCAAGATTCTCCTACTCCACCTCGACAGATTTATAGTTGCTGCTTCTCGAAAAATAAGTTTCACGCAAAACAGCGTCATGTAATGTATCAATGCTGATCCAGACAGACAATAATTTTTTGTATGTACACAGCACTCTACATTAAGACCTAACTGTACAACTGTCCAAAATTGCACAATTTTCCACCTGCCTTAAAAAACCTGGATGTCTAATCAAGGTTGAAATCTTACCACCACCAAAATTTCCTCCTTCATTGTAGCCATCATATCCTCCTCCTCCACCTCCATATCCACCACCTGGGTTTCCATATCCTGGTCCTCCACCACCACCATAACCTCCTCTGCTGCCATAACCAGGACCACCTCCATAGTTGCCACCTTTGAATAAAAGGAGAGTCAAACTAAACACACAAAAGGTAAATATTGGTAACAAAACGCCTACCTAAAAAAAAACCTCCAAAACCAACACACAGTAAAAGTATCCTATAATGTTTTGTCTGTATTGTATTAATTGTGGTTCCATGATTTATCTGAAGTGTTCAATCCATACATGAAAAAAAAAAATTTAAAAAAATCACACTTGTTTCTGTAAACTCTTGAAGCAGCACACTTAGTAGTTCATTCCAGCTCACAGAAAATACACAGGCAGGCACGCTGCTACTACCAGTAGCCCCCACTACATGTAGTAACTGCCCCTTTACACAGTACTGCCAAAGCCATTTGTGTAACATCCTCTTTATTACTCTGAACTAAAATGACTCAAGCAGGCAAAGCCCTTTTTATAAAGAATTCTGGTTTATAGCTTTCATACAGACAGAGGGCTTTATGTCAAAGCTACTTTCTTCCTAATCATGTAACGTGTATCTGAAAGACTTCCCGTTTCAGATGCTGATCTGGTCTCCAACATTTTTATCAAGTAGTTCCAAACTGGAAAATTCAAAAAAACACTGCTACATAAATCTGCTTATAGAATCCGGATATAAACAGCTACACACTACTTTCCTCATTTCCCCTCCCTGCTCCACAGAGATGCATGTATCACAATAATGTAAAATACATACAATTCATTCCCGTTCGGTCCCCATGTGTTGCCTGATCTAGTCAAAAGGTGACGTCCCTGGTGGCAGGGAGGGTGGATTAAAATGATCTCTAAGGTCCCTTCCAGCCTAGGTCATTCTATGATTTGCTCCAAAAAGTGACAGAGTTGTAACTGCCACTTTCCATAGCCATTTGCTAACTTCCACAGTTCTCTTTATTGTGAGGTTTAGACGAGATGCATGTAAAAAATAGACTGCTGAGCTGTGAAAAATCTTAACTGATGTAGAAGATTTCTGGTATGCTAATTGGTCACTGCTTTATTCAGTTTTAGTTACCTCAACTGACACCAGAATCTTCTTTTACTTCTCAACAATCCTAAAAAACTCATGACCTCATGATATGAGGTTATTTAAAGGGTAAATATAGGAGTATTTTTTTTCTACCCATTGCTTTGTGGGGAAAATCAAAAACCTTCAACTCTTCACAGCTCTACAATGTAAAAACCACTGTTAAAGTATACTTTCTTTCAAAGGTGGAGGCAAGACTTACAGCTGGTTATAATGTTGGGGGGGGGGAAGCAAACAATACACTTACCATCACCAAATCCATTGTATCCGTCACCACCCCCAAAGCTTCCTCTGCTCCCACCACCGCCACCACCACCCCCATAGCCTCCTGGAACACAAAACAGATGAGAATGTTTTCCTAAACAAAATTGTGAAGTGTTTAAGCCAACTGACAGAGGAAAAAAAGACACACAGAAAGCACATTCTATATAAACACTCCAGTAATTTACCTCTGCCACCAAAGTTTCCTCCTCGGCCAAAGTTTCCTCCACCGCCTCCGAAGTTTCCACGACCCATGAAGTTGCCTGAGCCACCCCCACGACCTACAAAATATTTTACTTCAATTACATTAATTGAAAATCAGTTACTAAAGTACCTATGCACAACTCCTAACTCACCTCTCTGAGAGCTAGCAGTCTGCATCTCTTGTTTCGAGAGAGCTTTTTTTACTTCACAGTTATGTCCATTTATAGTATGATATTTCTGAACTGGAAAAAATTGTGATACAGAAGAGTTAGAAAATCAAATCGCTGAAAGCAGTATGCTGCAAACTCTCACAGGTATCTACTACACAGCATGACCACACTTCTAAAAGGAACATCAAACCTCTCCTATCTCTTACAATAATAAATGTCAACATCTTGCATTCCACACACTGCTATTCTCAAATTTAACATTACACTTTTATCCTGTAAGTCATTTCTCACTACTGAATTACTTACCAACGATTTTATCAACTGTATCGTGATCATCAAAAGTTACAAAAGCGAAGCCTCTTTTCTTTCCGCTTTGCCTGTCTTCCATGACTTCTATGGTTTCAATCTTGCCGTATTTTTCAAAGTACTCCCTTAAATTGTACTCTTCTGTATCTTCTTTGATTCCACCAACAAATATTTTCTTTACTGTGAGATGTGCCCCAGGCTTTACGGAATCCTACAACGACGGAAATGACATTAAGCCTTTTAAATTATTAGGTAAAGATACGGAAATAAGGTTGACATTAACTTACCTCCCTCGAAACTGCTCTCTTTGGTTCAACCACGCGGCCATCAACCTTATGCGGTCGAGCGCTCATAGCAGCATCCACCTCCTCCACGCAGGAGTAAGTCACAAAGCCGAAACCTCTGGAACGTTTTGTCTGCGGGTCTCTCATCACCTGCAAAAACACAGGGGCTCTGCTATTTCCATACCAGATTTCGTACCTCTACCCTTTCAAAACCACAAACTCATATTTGACACTTTACCACACAGTCCGTGAGCGTGCCCCATTTTTCAAAGTGCTCTCTCAAACTATCATCTGTTGTTTCAAAGCTCAGGCCTCCAATGAACAGCTTTCTCAACTGCTCTGGCTCCTTTGGCTCATGGCCCTACAAAATCAAAAATCGAAAACGCATTTTGAATACAAACCACAGAGGTAAAATTTCACAAATTACTACAAATTATCTGTGCACATGGTAACTACAAATAGGTGCAATACAGTTACATAAGAACAATAACTTCCAACGTGTTTAGACAGCGGCATAGTAAACACTTAATTAGGTGTGATTTTAATTAAAAACCTGACTAGCAACTGAAGAATGCTCAAATGCAAAGAGCAGTACAGAGATACTAAACAGTTTGGTTGCTCCCCAGCCTCATGGCATTGCATTTGTTTTATGCCTATCTTATGTCTGGATTGCATATTGCTCTGTAGGGATTAGCAATGAAGCACTGCAAGATAAAGGGAAGTTCTAATGCTTTACGAAGCTTAATCATGAGGAACTAAAAAAATTTTAATAACGCAGTGTACAAGAAAAAAGGTTATTGTCTAAATGCTGTGTCTAGTCTTTTGAGACATCCATTTCGAAAGGTTATTTTTATGCTTTCTCAAGAAATTTATACACTTAATTCCTTAAAACTATAGATTTTGTACTTAGGTGATTTTGTAAGGTGAGTGTATGCAAGCAAGAGAGCAGAAGTGCACATGTAGTTTGCACTGTTACGGGAAATACCTCCCAAATGCAAACCAATGACCAATAGTGGATACAACTACTGGAATAAGACTGGTACCTTAACAAGTGCTGTAAAACAAGTTTAATTCAAGCTCTTAACAGCATCACTTATATATGACCAGTCACATTCTAAAATGCACTAATTTTCAGAGCCCAGTTTTCTATAGCACGTTTAAAGTGGGCTCATAAGTGTGTTAGTGTTTCTGCTCTTTTTTTCAGCACTGTGTGGAGTTTTTAGTTAGACAGGGAATATCCTGGTATAATTCACTGGAATTTATGAAAACTTATTTTACAACCTTCTCCCATCCCCAAGACAGAGAAGTCTTTAAAAAAAAAACCCAACTAGACTAAAACCTTATTGAACAAGTTCGTACTTTTGTGCATTTAAAACACTCCACAAGACTTCAATTGTAGAACACGAATGTGTAACAGGCTTCACTGTTTCTGCTGCAGTGTGTTAACCTAGACTAGATGCAGCATTTACCTGTGAGCTGAACTACATATAAAACCAGCCACAGCCTTCTACACGGAGGTGTCTTGCTTCCAATCTGAAAGCAAAGTGCTTTAACCTCTGTCACCAGTTCAATAAATGTGGTGGTGGTACTAGGGTTGGTCAGAAAAGCATACATCCCTTTGAGTGCAACACAACCACCCTAAAGAGCAATGAATACTAGAAAGCAATACACAGCAAAAGATAATTTCTGAATTACATACTGATTTTAGGAGACCATTGGTTTATAATGTTCAGGTGGTACTAGAGGAAACAATGTCCAAGATTACAAGAAGCTGGCTGGCAAGTAAATCCCTGCCCTTATACCTGCTCAGCTGGGCAAGAAAGAGCTCCAGCATTCTCACTAACAACTCCTGCATAAGGCACTTGAAGTTTCTCTTATAAGGCACTTCAATAACTCTGTTACTAGAGGAACGTTACATAACTAATTGTAGTTGCAGGACCACCGACTGTCAAAGTAAAGCTTCTTTTCTATGGTCTTCCAAGTGGTCTAGACTACAGAAGTGTAATTAAAAAAATCTAACTAGAGATAGAAATACAATCTTACAAGGTAACACATCTACTGTACATAGGAAGTGCTTTACGTTAAGTGAAACATTTCTTTCTGTTGTTAATTGCCTAGTTTTTAATTTACTGACACTACTTAATTTTTATCTGGGTTACGTTAAAGTTGGGAACACAAAGTGTTGCAAACTCTCCTACACATACTAAAGGAAATCTATTATATGAAATTGTAGAGTTCAGACTCCCCCAAAGCCAAAATCCTATATGAGGAAAAACCGGACAGACTTTCTGAAGTTCTCTGACACCCTTCAAGTCTACAGGGTTTTCAGTCAGCAACTCAGGCTGGTTTTACCATAAAAGAATGACCACAGACCTCTTCAGGTCACTCCCTAAAGGCAGAGTGAAGTCCTTTTCTACTTCTTTTTATTTTGTGCACATGAACTGCCATTATCATAAAGGAAGAAAATCACTTGCTGTTACAGCTTCTCTCTTCTCTCAGAGAGAAATTAGCCTCAGAACCCACCTATGCTACAGGAACTCTCCACAGAAATAAAAAGGCAACATTTTCTTAAGGAACTAGGTGCTTTTTTCAGGTGTTTTGTTCTCACTGAGGTTAAGCTTCTCTA